AAGCAAGAGTAGCGTTTGGATTTGAGCGATTAGATTCTCCAAGAACAAGATATCTACGAGTTGGCCATCTTATTTGAAGTTCTTCTACGAAAAAAACAAGTTCAATATCAATTTCAATATGATCAACTGAAATCAACACCCGGATTTAATGCATTTTCCTCCCCATTGCATGTTAATAACATCAAGATCAAGACGAACGCATGAAACGACTAGTCAAAGAAATAATGCCTAGGAGTTCTTGATCAAAACTTGACATTTCCGAGTTTCAACTTTCAGCAAAGCTACTCTCCCTATATATACCACCAAGAGATGACATTATTAAGCACTATCAAGCCATTGCAAAAATATTACGTACTATCAAGCCAAACCAAAAGCCTTTACATTCTTACGTACTATCAAGACAAACCAAAAAGAAAAAGAAAAAAATGGGAGAGAGCAACAATCAAACAAGGCATTTTGTTTTAATCCATGGTTCGACTTCGGGAGCTTGGGCATGGTACAAGGTGAAGACAATGCTAGAGGTAGCCGGCCACTCTTTCACTCGCTCTTGACATGAGTGCATCGAGGGTGAACACAAAAAAACTTGAAGAAGTCCATACTTTTAATTAGTATAATGAGCCCTTGATTGAGTTCATGGCCAACTTACTCGAAAATGAAAAGGTTGTATTGGTGGGGCATAGTTTAGGTGGCTTAAATCGTCTTTTGCTACGGAGAAGTTCCCGGAGAAAATCTCTCTTCTTGTTTTTGTTACGACATTCTTGCTCGATATTATGCACCGACCATCGTATATGCTAGAGAAGGTATACTTGTTTGTTTCATACCGCAATAAAGACCCAATGTTTTATTTAACTTTTTTATTGATTCCTTATAATTAAGGTGATTTATTCTATTTAGTTTTTGTATTTGATTAAATTCACTATGTTTAAACCCTAGGCTATTTTATAAAAGAATCATTTTAAGGTCCAAGTACTTAAGCCTATCAAAAACATATACCACATGAGGAGATCTATTGCCCAAAACCTTTTGCTTAATTCAAGAAGAAATGTTAATAATAATAATAATGCACAAGCATACATGCAAATGTAAACGCATTACCAACTATCTCTAACATCAAACCGGTATATGTTTTGGCCTTTTTGTTAGTTTACCGAAAGCAATCCAGTCGTTGCGGACGAGTGGCAAGGTGCGGTGTCTTCGACCAAGAGATATGAGATGTTTATGAAGGCCACGACCTTTAACGTTACCCCCATTGAGGTACGAGTACAAAAATTCGACTACAAAGTAATTTTCAATATTGAACTCATCTCGTTTCGTAGTAATAACTAAGTATAGTTATGATGTTTTTCTCGTATCTATCTAAAAGACATGGAATTGTGACTGATTACAATCATGTTCATCTTCTTCTTTTTTTTTTTCTCTCTCTCGAGTATCGTTCTTTTTTTTTTCTTCAAGTTGTTGCTTTCTTTTTTGCTCTTTTTGTTTTTTCCATCAAGTTAGGCTCTTATTTATTTATTTTTTTTTTCATCCATTATTCACAATTTTTTTTTTCATTTCGAATACTTGAACACTTTTTTTTTTTCAAGTTGTTGTGAATATATGTCTTTTCTTTTTCTCTTTCATTGTTTTTTTCCCCATCAAGTTAGGTTCTTTTTTTTTTTTTTTTTTTTTTTTTAATTTTCGAGTTGTTTTCATTTTAGTTTCTAAAATTTTAATCTCATAACCGATGCACTACTCATGCCTTTTTTTTTCTTTTTTTTTACATTAATTTATGTTTTTTTTTTAATTAGGCGTTAAAATTTTAAAAAATCAATCGTTACTTTTTTCCATACAAACTAACGATTATATAACATGTACAATATTTTTTATAGTTATACGATACGTTTTTGGATTTTATTATGATATATATATATATTTTTTTTCCGTTTCAAGTTGTATTTACTATACATGCTTTTTTTTTCTTTGATTTTTTCCATCAATTTAGGTTCTTTTTTAATTTATTATTATTTTTTAAAATTTTCAAGTTGTTTCATTTTAGTATTTGAAATTTTAAAATAAAAAATTTAATCCCTTGATCGATGCACTACTCATGTCTTTTTTTTTCCTTTGCTTTTTTTTTCTTTTGCTTTTCTTCATCAATTTATGTTCTTTTTTTAATTTAATTAAGTGTTAAAATTTTAAAAAATCAATCGTTGCTTTTTTCCATACAAGCCGACAATTATATAACACTACTCATGTCTTTTTTTCCCTTTTCTTTTTTTTTTCATCAATTTATGTTCTTTTTTTTATTTGAATATGTGTTAAAATTTTAAAAAATCAATTGTTACTTTTTTTCACATAAACCGACGATTATGTAATATATACAATATTTTTTATATTTATAAGATATGTTTTTAGATTTTAGAATAAATATAAAGTACTCTTATCGTTTAAAATTGATTTTTTTTTTATAAAAATTCTCATCAAGTTAATTTTTATTCTTATTTTTTTATAAATTTATTTATTAATAAATATGACTTATTTTTATCTATGTATGGATTCGAATAAGTTTTTTTAATACCTAATTTTATTTGCTTAGTTCTTATATAATCAAATTTTAAAAATTGAATACATGTATTTTATTTTCTTACTTCTTACATAATCAAATTTTATCAAAATCAGTTTTATAGTTTTTGTTGCACTCTATTAAATTCAATATATATTTTATTATTTAATTTTTAAAATATTTTTTTAATTTATTTTATACATTCTCACCTATTGAGTACAATCATGATGTATTAAAAATAATAATGTTGGAGTCATTGATTTTATTAGAAATCAACTATGCTTCTACACACATAATACCAATTATTCGCCATTACTTTTTTAATATTTAAAATGATTTTTTAAATAAAATAATTGAAATAATATTCCAGAATAATGGCCTAATAATTCAAATACAATTTTGTAGACTAATATTATTCATTATTTTGTGTGTGTGTGTATATATATATATATATATATATATATATATATATCTTAAAAAATAATCTTCTCACTAGTAAAAAAGTTTCATTTGTTAATTTTTATACAAGTTTTTATACTAATTATTACTTTATTTCTTTGATGCAATGTAATATATATATAAAGATTTTTTTAAAAAAAATTATATTAAAATTTGTTTATTATGGGTTTTATTTAAGAATAAATGCATAAGAAAGAACAAATCATATTTTTGACTTCAAAATTTATCTTTTATATTTAATTTAATTGATGTTAATTAACCGATAACATAATATATGTTATTAAATTGATATAAATATATTTAGTTCGGTCCACTCGCGTTGTGCGAGAATCGAACTACTCATATATCTAAAATTCTTATTCACTCACTATTCATACACATAGAATTACTATTCACTTAATGTCAATTTAAGTAATTTTTATGTGTTTTTAGACATTAATATGCAAATTTAACATTTTCTTTTATTTCTCATCCCTCATGTTGCAATATTTTTTTTAATCCTTAGTTTTTATTTTTCTATCATTTTCACGTAGCATATATATATATATATATATATATATATATATATATATATATATATATATATATTGCTGTGCATTTAAATAGTAATATATTATTTATTACCTAAAAATTTCAAGTCTGTTTCATTTTGATCTTTAAAAATTTTAATCCCTTTAATGATGCACTACACATGCCTTTTTTTTTTCCTTAGGTTTTTTCATTTGCTTTTTTCCATCAATTTTTTTATTTAATTAGATATTAAAATTTTGAGAAATCAATTTTTTATTTGATTTTTTTTCATCAATTTATGTTTTTTTATAAATTTAATTGGGTGTTAAAATTTTAAAAAACCAATCATAATTTTTTTCCGCACAAACCGATGATCATATAATATATCTTTTTATATTTTAAAATTAACATATACGTCATTTTTTTTTAAGCAGAAATTTTATAAAAAAAAACACAAAAAATATTAAAAATTAATAAAAAAATTATAACATTTTGAAATAATTTTGTTCTATTTATCCGTAGCGTTACTCGAATAATTTCAAAAATTAATCTTCTCATTAGCATTAATTAAGGATTTTTTTTTTTATAAAAGTCTGTTCATTAATTATAGTTTTATTTTTTAAAATAAAATATTGTAAAAATTATATTTTAAACTTTTTTTTAATTCTTGATTAATATTTTAATTAAAATTATTATAATTTTTAATTTTAAAATCAATCCGTAAAGAAGAATCATTTATATTTTTTTTAACAGAAAATTTATAAAATTATTTAAAAAATTAATTAAATAAAATATTATATTTTTAAAATTTTAAAATTTTAAAATAATTTTGTTGTATCGTATTCTTGGTACAGCGCAGGCAAGCAGCTAATTCTAATTTCCAATCCGAACCATCCATGTTCAGAACTCGTCGTTTAGTAGAAAGTGTCATCAAGGGACCCTCTTGTAGACGACAGGTCGTTAGTTCCTTAAAAACTGCAGGGTTTTTAGACCCCAAAGCCCTCCCTCGTCCATTTTCCCTGCTCTCTCTCTCTCTCTCTCTCTCTCTCTCTATATATATATTTATATGTATATATATTTGTGTCTCTTGGTTTTGGATTGATTGTTGACAAGCTTCATTGCGGTGTCTTGTTCAGGTTTGCAAACCACACAAAGGCTTGGGTGGCGAAAACAAGTGGTGATAAACCCACGTACTCTCTCTCTCTTTCTTTCAATTTTAATCTTTATAAAGAAATAAATACCATTTTAAAGATTCTTTATTTCCTTATTGTATTTCTTGGTATTGGAAATTCTTCCCGTTAAAGATTTAATTTTGAAGCTTTCATGAGCTCAAATCAAGCACATTTTATAAAGATTCTATCTATTACCCTTAATCTATTAGTTTCAGTGATTAGCGTCCTATTTGTTAGTGTGTCACTCTGTTTCTTGAAAGTTTATCCACAATTTATAAGACTCAGTTTTGGTTTTATTGAGATCCTGTGAGATTGACATGAATGCAAAACTAAGTTCTTTAGTTATAAAATTTGGTTCCTTTTTGGTAAATTCACGAGCATTTTCTTGTTTGAGCAAAAACCCACTTTGTAATACTTATTATATATTGATTAGTACCTTCAAGTCTGCAACATGTTCGACGATAAGCCAAACCCAAGTTGAAACTGTATCAGGGGATGGTGTAGAGCAACCGGCTAACTCGGTTGAAGTTTTGAGGAGATATGGTTGTAGCGATGATGATATAGAGAAGATGTTATTGCGAAGGCCTGCTTTGCGCAATGCCAATCTTTCCCAGCTTCAATCCAAGCTAAGTTTACTTTGGGAGCTGGGTATAACATCGAATGACCTTGTTAAGATTATTAATTGTCGCCCACGATTGCTTAGTGTTCGCATAAATCATTTTTTTGATGAGCGTCTGGAGTATTTTATGACCTTGTTTGGATCAAGGGAATTGCTACTCAAGGCCATTATTAGAAATCCTTCGCTCTTGACGAATGATTTCCATAATAGGATTAAACCTGTCATTGCACTATATGAGGGAATGGGTATTGGTAGAGAGGATTTGGTTCCCTTGCTCTTGTCACGGCCTACTTTGATTTCGCGAACTTCCTTTAATGATGAGAAGATGGAATGCATACGCAAAAGTGGGGCTTCCAAGGAGTCCAATATGTTTAAACATGTGGTTTGCATCATTGGTATCTCAAGGAATGAGACCATCTGTGAGAAGGCAGCAAACATAGAGAAGTTTGGGATGTCGAATGAAGAAGTTTGGCTTCTTATTGGTCGTAGCCCCTATCTCTTGACACTATCTGTTGATAAGGTTCAAAGGAATATGACGTTTGTAGTGGGCACATTGAAGCTTCCAGCAAATGTGATCCTTGAGCACCCATTTTTGCTTTACAATAATCTGGAGGCTGTGTTGAAGCCGCGATGGCTTCTTGCTGGGAAGATAGAGGAGATGGGTCTTTGTCCGAGAATTAAAGGTTCATTGATGTTGAGGGCACTGAGGATGGCAGAAAAGCGATTCTTGAAGGCATTTGTTTCATGCCACCCTGATGATGTTGCTAAAGAGTTGATGGAGTTCTATATAAAGGCAAAATGTGTCAAGCGGCTGGCTGAGGGATCGAAGAAGGAAGTGTTTAGAGGATTTCCTTTCTAAATTTTGTTGCATGCCAAGTGCTCATCACTTTCCTGCTTTAATCCATCTGATTGTATGCATCAATTGCTACACACTTCCCCTTGCTGAATGCATAAAAATAGTGATTTTCATAATCCTTTCTTTATATTGATTTGTGAAGTTGTGATGCATGTATTTGCTCCTCTCTCTTATTTTCTCTGTGTGATGCGGACAAAAACAGACATCGCAGCACCAACCTGCACATTTTCATATTGTCCCATGCTTTTGAGAATTTCTCATTGACTTTTAGAGTACGAATAAATAACGGTATCTGGCTTGTATGTTTTAAGGGATATCATTTTTGTTAATAGGCCGAATTGCCTTTACCATTAACCCTATGTAGGCAATTTTTTTTTTTCTTTTGGGTAACGGAAAAGGTCAATCCCTTTATTCCATTCTCAGGGTTTTTGTTCCAGGTTATTCTTTGGTGCATTTTGGATCGAAAAATTTGTGATCTGCATAAGGATTAGTTAGTGCTTGTTATCACAGAAAGTAAAGTCAGACGAAAAATGATAAATCTTCTCTTACCTTGCATTAGTTGAATGCTTCTCTTCTTCAAGGATTTCGGCTGGACATGTTGTCTTGCTATCACACATTGATTTTGGGAGTGCATTGAGTTGCTAGACTATAGCAAACTAACCCTATAAAAATTCTTAAGAGTAGGAATGAGGGTTTGATGGCATGATTTTCGGAATAATTTTCAGCATCCTCTCAAGCAATTTCCGATTATTTTCAAAGTTAAAGAAGGTTGTTACAGCTAGATATTCAAACTATAATTCTGGTGATTTTTCAGATCATATGCTATATTTTGTTTTGGCCAAGAATGAGTTTAGATACAGAGAGGAAGAAGGCAAGTATCTAGGCTTGTGTTGTAAGAGGAAATAAAGCCAAAATAACAAGCTTAATCACACATTGATTTTGGGAGTGCATATTTCCTTGATTTGGCCAACTTGAACACAAGCTTAAGTTCTGGCAAATGGTCATGAGCTCTAATATGACTCTGACATTTGTGTTCCATTATTGAGGTTGAGTAGGTTTTAATGAGAAAGTCTTAGGATAAGAAATTGAGCTTTGCAGGAGACCAGAAAGATACAGAGCTTGATTTAGCTAAAAAATGGAAAAGAGAGAGGGAAAGTAATAACTCAGCCCCCTCTCTTTGTCTATTCTACAAAAAAAAAAAAAAAAAAAAAAAAAAAAGGAAGAAGAAGAAGAAGAAGAAGAAGATTGCAACTGCTAAAAAAAATCACTGAAAATTCACACCAAAATCGTGGTTATGCTTAAAGAAAACTCACAAGAATACTACTCAATAGGGCACTCACTTTCTCTTCGATGAGAAAAATAAATTACTGCCTAGAACACAAGAAACCACCCAGCTGCAGTAGTAGGCTCTCCACCCATGCAGCCCCACAAAGTCATCACAATACTTTTCTTTTATACTAGGGTATGTCACACACGAAGGGAAAAAAAAAATCTAGTGAACGCTTGTTTCATTAAAAAACAGGACACAATGTCGTAAGGTAGATGATAACATCTTTCAACCCACAACAAAATACAATTCAATTTAAGATAAAATGATATTAATATTGGAGGTTAATACTCTTATCTATCTTTATATAATTGCTCATTTTTTCATTCTATTCTTAAAAAAAAAAAAAAACGATATCCAATATGTTTTTATATTTTGAGTTTGTTTCAAATCTATTATTTTTGTTAAAATTTTCAGTTAAATTAAGTTAAATTAAACATGTAATTTGCACATAATATGTGATTTGATAAAATTGTCTTTATTATTTGGTACAAATGATTTATATTTACTAATATAAAGATTAATTTTTAAAAATTAGTCAAAATTTTTGATTAAAAGGATAGATTAGAAATAAGTTCAAAATATAAAAGATAGATAGAATTTTTTTTTTTTTTTTAAAAAAAGACAAGATTAAAAAATTGACTAATTATATAAATACAATGATGGCATTAACCCTAATATTAGACAAAGCAAATGCCTATTTGAGCAGAGTACCAGAGCAGCAATAAAGCAGAAACAAACAATGAAATGTATAAGATAAAACAGCAGAAATAATTTATTAATGAGAACAAGCAATCGGGAACAAAGGAAGTGCACACCAAAGCTTCACTCCAGGTATGTACAATCTTTTTGCTACTGGTGACAATTCAAGGAAACAGATTTAATTAATTATAGTTCACCCAACTTCTTTTCAGAAAACACACAAGCTGATAATACATGTGGATCTCAATCGATGAACAATTGGGTGATGTACCTTTTCAAATGTTGCGGATGTGTTTATATCTGTAGATATCCATTGGAGCATCTGTTGGCCTCATGAATTCCTGATTTATATACTTCCAAGCATTTGCTATCATTTGCTGCAACTCTTCAACTGCCTTGTCGTAGGGAACTCTCTATTGCTTCATGTAGCATTCTACACTAGAAGGAATATGCTGCATCTTTCGCTCACCCTTCACATTGTAAATAAATAAGGAAATGCATGTTACACAATACAAGCGGATATAAATTAATATTCACTTGGTACTACTCTGTTCACTTGCTCAAGGCATGTATGCAGGCCGACTTTATAATATATGTGGCACTAGGTAAAATAATATTTTAGAGACTATTTCATAAAATAAATAAATATTAATTATTTTTTAAAATTTATTTTTCTTGCGTTACGAGATGCAAAATCTCTAATTAAATTTTTGTATTCAAGTTTACAAAGCAAATCTTTTTCAATTGATAATATAGCCAAATTACTTAATCTTTCTTGTGATATAGTTGAACGTAAATAAGATTTTATTAATTTTAATTTTGAAAAACTTCTTTCAACCGAAGCTACGGTAACATGGATAGTTAATATTATTCTATATGCTATCCATGCATTTGGAAAAGAATTTACCTTTTTCGTAAAATTTAGTAAGAACAAACGAGGGTGAGTCGAAGCTCGGTAAGTCGGGTGATGCATGGATTATGCAACGTTTTTCCGCTTGCCCCCACTATTCTCATCAATTTGAAATGTTAAGGGTACCACGGGTATTAGTAAGTCCGCTCTATTCCGGTGATTATCGAATAACCTCGGCAATCGGTTATTACCAAATAACCTTAGCAATCATTTACTCGGTTCAATCCACCTCCGAATGTATATGATGCACGTGAAGTTATGTTTACCCTACTATAAACACCCTATAGGTGCCGGACCCTAGACTATCAAATCATTCTCGAGATCGAACCCATATAGGGTTTTCGATATATTCCCATATCACTTTCATAATATTTCCCCCAAGGAAAGTCAATTACCGTTGACTCATATTAGTCAAGTCATAAACTTTATGTTGCACATAGGCATTTTTCTCTTGTTAAATTTAGTAAGTCTCATCGTATAATTCGTTCTTTACTTGACGTATGTAATTAGTAGCATTTTAAACTAGTTTAAAACATACTAAGGCGACATTTTCTCTTTGAACCCAAATTGGAGTATTTTGGGTCGAATTGGGCTTTTAAATGTTCTAGGTTAAAATTTTTGTTTACTTAGCAATTTTTCCTGTCTAAACGTCCTTTTATATTTATTAAGGTGTACTTAAACCATTAATTATGGAATTGAAGAATTGGAATCCAAATCCTCACGAGTTTAGGGTTTAAGTCGAACGGGTCCTTAAAGTGGCAAAATATTACTTTTTCATCCCAAATTACTAATGTGTAACTAATTAAATTATACTTGAGTCCTATGCCCTTAATTACATAAAATGGGTCTAATATTATTTATTTTCTTACTTAGGCTGAAAGGGTTCTTGAGTGAAACCCTAGGAATTCATTTTCCTCTCCTTTCCAATTTGTGGTTTATTATAAGGCGACCTCTAATCAAGTGGGCAATGTACCAACTTCTGGGCATAATTAAATCCTATTCTTTTTTAATTAGAAACTAGACATATTTATTCATAACATACCCAAAAATTAGATTTAAATACTAAATACACAATTCATAACATAATTTTGAAGTTTAAGATTCAATCTATCCAGCGAGTAGTTTACCCAGCATAGTACGTACTAAAATGGGCATAACTTTTTCTATATAAACATAATAATAAAAATATTTTACAGGAAGTTAGTAAAGACATATATAAACAACTTTTATTCTTTAAGATTCACCTAGAAATCAACCTAAGGTCCTTGAACGAGGCAATACCAAAGTCGGACAAAAACTACTCATCAATAACACCGATTTAGCCATTCATTCCAACCCTCATTAACCATGTTTTAGTCCAATTAAATTTCAGTCCAAGTCCAATCCAAATCATTTACACATATTTGGACATGTAATAGGTATTATAAACATCATAATTCATCACCTACACAATATTCACAACTAGATCAAGCCAATACATCATAAATCCACCAACACAAACCAAGCTCAACAATACAACAAACAACTCAATCAATACATAACTCAAACACATAAAAATGGAAATTAAAAGCATAAAAAAACCTAATTACATTGCTTTAACTTCCTAAAGATTTTTTAGGCTTTTCCTTTTTTATTTTCTTTTCTTTCTTCTTTCCTTTTCTTCCTTTCCTTTTTTTTTACCGTGTTTTCACTCTTTCTCACTTTACTTTTCTCTCTTGTTTTGTAAGCTATGGTTTTGGACTAAAAAATAGCAGCCATATACTCCACTTCTATATATATATATATATACACACACTTCATTTCCTTATAGTTAATAGGTATAAAAGTGTCCCAAAATAATATGGAAAAATGTAAAGTGAGGGGTAACAAAAAGGGAGCAAGTGGTGGGTTTGGCTAGTCAAAGTGTGTGTTGGCTTGTAACTCATTAATTAGGGTGCTTAGGTGTCCTAAATAGGTAATAACTAGATAATTAACCTAACTAATACCCTTAAACTAGTTTATTTCCATTGACAAAGTCCCTTAAGGTAGTTTAGTTCAAGTAACAAACTTACACATTAAATCTGGTTGTACCTATACATGACAAGGCGACCTCTTATCAAAGAGTAACATCCCCCTTCTGAATACCGATAAATCCTATGCTTTTTATACACAAAACTAGACATATTAAGGTAGAACATATCCAAAAATTAGGTTAAAATACCTAACACACAAGTCACAACCAAATTTTAAAGTTTAAGGATCAATTTGTCCAGCGAGTATTGCGTCTAGGATAGTATGTACTAAAATAGGCATATATTTTTATATATAAAACTAATAATCGAAATATTTTACAGAGTGTTATTTAAGACATAAATAAACAACTTTTATTATTTAAGTTTTATCTAGAAATCACTTTAAAGTTCATTAATAAACCACACAAGATTCGGACGGAATCTAATTCTCAAAAACACCGATTTTGCATACGGGATTCCTCTAATAATTAAACCATCAATCTTAAGTAAAATTGCTTTAATTTAACACAAATCATATATTTCACGCATTAATTTCTCATGGTGTAATTGTCCAAAATTTCATTCCATAATGTATATAATTAAGGATTTTCACGGGGATTATAGATTTTTTTTTCCTATGCCATACGGTTTATTTGAAAAGAACAACTAGCTCGCCCCATTTTTTTTCCTTCCTAAATGTATATTATATAATATATAACAATTATGTGTATAAAGAAAAAAAAATATATATATATAAAAGAACACACACACGCATATATGTGTGTGTGTGTGCGCATGTGTGGTGGCGGAGATTAGGTGTAAAAAGCATAAAAAATAAATCGTTATAATTTTTAGATGATAGAATATATATGATAATTTTTTTTAGATTTTAGTTTAAGCGCGCGCGCGCACACACACACACATATCCGATTATATTACTTTTATTGTTTAAAATTTATTTCTTCAATTATTTGTCTTATTGAAATTCTCATGATATTTATTTTTGATGTGATTTTATTTGTTAATAAATTTAGGTTTTTGATATATGAATTTTAGAATAAAAATTTAGAACATCGATCTTTTATCTTTTAAAAATATATTATTATAATTTATACAATAAATTTCTATTTTTTTAAATGCCTTTTTTATTTTTTAAAATATATTATTATAATTTATAAATTCGAGATACATATAAGTATGTTTTAGATAGTCCGACTTATTTTTTTTAAAAAAATTAATAATCAGTTAAAAGAATTCATAAATTTTATTTTTTTACACACATACATATACATACATATGTACACACATATATATCTTGAATTGAAAGCAATAATTGAGTATTTATGTGCTCGAAACTTGGAAAATCATGGTTAATTAGAAAATAGATAGGTGCAATGTGAAAAACACGGCTAAGCCCATTGTATGTTGTGTTTTTATAAATCAGTTAAATAAGTTTTATATTTTTAATTTAATCAATTAAACCTATTTATTTTCAATTTCAATCGAGTATGATCTTGTCAAATTAATAATTTTTACATAATAATTCGAATAATAAAATAATAGAACTGCATAAAGTGAAACCTACATGCAGTATTTATATATGTATATATTATATTTTTATCGGATCTAAACGTATTAAATTATTAAGTTGGCAAAATCGTACTTAAATTATTGAAATTGAACATGCATATGTTTAATCGATCAAATTAGACATACAAGGAGTTATTTGAAGAATTCATTAAAATATAGGGTGCAAACAAGTGGGTTTAGCCACTGAAACACTATCCTCTGTCGAAACAACTACTAGAGATCCCCAAACAGAGCTAAATTACAACTCCTGGTCCTAACGAAACACTATGTTACTAGCAGTAATAAAGCGGCTGTGACTTGTGAGTTTAGGCTGATCATCATGAAATCGACAAAACATCATAGTTAACAGGCACATAGATAAAAAACTGAAGCACTCTTTTTTGGCTTCATTATCTTTGAAGAATCTGACAACCCAAAGAAAGAGCTTCAAATATTTGGTCTCTGAGTAAATGGCTTCAACTATCTTCACAAAGAGTCTATTGGGTCACCGCTTGGTTCACTCCTCTTTCTCTCTTTCCCACAAAACCCCACAAATCTTTACTTCTCTCTTCACTGTGAGTGACTGTCTGCTATTTAAGTATCTGTGTTTTGCTTAATTTTATGATTATTTATCTGGGTGTCTGTTTTTTTTTTTTTTCCTTCTCCTGTTCTGCTTTTGACTTGTAGGTCTTGTGTTTGAATTGTCGATAGATTTTGCTGGATAATGGATTTCAATTTAGTGATGAGAAGTAGGACTTTGAAGTGTATATCAGCAGTTTTAGTTATTGGTTTCGGTAAATTTTGTGACTTTATTGTCAGTATTAAGTTTCAATTACTTGTGTTCAATTTTATTGGTGTATCAAGTTGAGAAACCTTCAATCTATTACTCTTGAATATATGAATTGATTTTAACTCTTCACTCTTAAGTGTGCTAAAGTTTAAGCATTGGCATCAACTGTGGTTATATAATTGTTTTCATATATATATATATATATATATGTATGTATGTATTGATGCATTGTAAGGGTCTAAATGAATATTTAGTTTCTGCTATTATGAAAAGAGTCGAACTTTGTTATTGTGGTGGGATTCTTTAAGAATTGGGTTAATGGTTTAGGATGTCGCTTTACTGTGTCGTTTGTCTTAATCGTGTTCCTTTACTAAAAATTTTACTAATTCCATCTCTCTATTGTTATTTTGCATCTTAATTTTGTCCCTCTGCCAATTTCACGTAGCAAAAAAAAAAATAAATAAAAAGTTTTCTGAAAAAGCCAATTGAAAAATCCCAAAATACCCCTCTTTTCTCTGCCTTTTGCTTTCTCTCAAATCCAAACCAAAAAATAAATTTTTTTATGTATAGGAAGGAACAAAAAGCTTTTTTTTTTTTTTCCAGAAATTTATTATGAAAATTTATTTCAAATCCAAACCCAAAGAAAATTTTTGATGATTTTTTCACAACATAGGAAGGAACATAAGCAAAAGGTAGAGACAAAGAGCAGCATTTTGGGATTTTTTTTTATATAGTTTTTTCAGAAATTTATATATTTTTTCAAAAAAAATTTGCCACGTTGACACGTTCTGTGCGTCTGTGGCCAGAAATGGATGCTGTGCCTGAAAATTTAGACAGAAGGACAAAATTAAAACGCAAAATAAATGTAGAGGAATGTAATTAATGAGAAATTTAGTAAAAAGACACGATTAAGACAAATGAAACTGTAGAGGGACATCCTGAATCATTCACCCCTTAACAATTTGGTGTTTTTTGTGTTATATAATTGTTTGTGCACTTGTTGCAAGCACCTAGCTTGATATTTGTTTTCTTGTATTTGCATTGTTGCTGATTACTTCAAGCATATTGGCTGTGCTTTAATGTGTTTTCACTTGTTTCACATTACTTTCAGAGGAGACCATTTCAGCAAAGAGCTGACCCCTTCCATACATCATATAAGACATCTAAGTGGGTTCCTTGTGTTATGGCTTCATCAGTAGTTGGGACAAGAGCTAATTTCTCGACACAATCTTTATCCACAAACGAACCTGTTGTCTCTGTTGATTGGCTTCATGCTAACCTCCGGGAGCCTGACATGAAGGTATCTGCTATTTCTCTTCTGTAGGATGGCTTCTCATCAAATTTTTTAAGAAGTAGTTTATGTGTTTCATTTCAACAGAAGAATTGTTTTTGCATTTGAATTGCTCTTGTTTTTGTAAGAATATTTCTTTCACTGAAAAAGATGTAGAGTTGTATGGAAATATTTTTTGTTTTGTGGAAGGAATGCAAAAATTGATTCCACTGTCGTCTCTTTGAGAGTTTTGGGGTTAAAAACTTCACAGTTTTGGCTAAATAGCAAACAGATTTTGGCTCCATTCAATGAAGAAGAAAAAGAAAAGGCATCATATGAGTTTATTTTATTGTTTTTAAAGTTTCTGTAAATAGAAATGCTCCTTTGATGCTTGCATTAATAAATGTACATACTTGACTTATCAAAAGAAAACACACCCTTCCTCTTGCTAAACTGGTTATGTGATATTGCAAATTTATGTAGTTATCAGTCTATGGTTTCCATTCATCTCTTGGAACATTTTATAGTAGTCTAATACATGTGAATCCATTTTAATTAGATTTGTTTACATCCTAAACATGGCCACTCATCATTCTGTCATGCATTGTCATATTCAGTTGTTGGATGCGTCCTGGTACATGCCCGATGAGCAGAGGAATCCAATTCAAGAGTATCAGGTCTGATGACTATGATTTAGTTTTGAATTTGTTTTGATCTTGACTACTTCATTGACAGTCTAAACTTGTCTTAATAATTAATTTTAAGTTAAATTTTGTTATATATATATATATGCTCTTTATTTTCTTTCAATCTTATCTTCAGGATAGTGATATCTTCCCTAATTTATTTTCCTTCAATGAATACCCTGATCTTCTAAAATTGCACCTCACAGGTTGCTCACATTCCTGGTGCCCTTTTCTTTGATGTAGATGGAATAGCAGATCGAACTACAAATGTAAGATGCTTTCTCTTTATTATTTGTTACAAATATTTATAGGTTTGGGCCTAGAATAGCTAATTATTTATTTATTTATTATTATTATTATTATTTTTAATTTTCCATATGAATCATCTTTAAGAATGCATTGTATTTTATCCATATGCAAGAATGGCTCCCTTTATAGTACATCTTGTTGACTTCGTATGTCATATGCTATAATTTATTATTTTAATTATGGATAGTACCTTTTCCATTTTATTCCACTGCTTATCATGTAAGAACAATGACTTGTATCAGTTGCCGCACATGTTGCCATCAGAGGAAGCTTTTGCAGCTGCTGTTTCTGCTCTTGGTATTGAGAATAAAGATGGATTGGTTGTCTATGATGGGAAGGGGATCTTTAGTGCTGCTCGTGTTTGGTGGTAAGTTGTGGAGTTGATAATATGTTGCAATTTTGTTGGAATCTATGTACGATGTTTATGGTTATTTGTCCATTCTAATGTAACTTTGATCAAATGAGAAGGATGTTTCGAGTCTTTGGGCATGAAAAGGTCTGGGTGTTAGATGGAGGTCTGCCATGTTGGCGTGCTTCAGGATATGATGTTGAATCTAGTGCTTCTGGTGATGCTATCTTGAAAGCTAGCGCTGCTACCGAGGCAATAGAGAAAGTATATCAGGGCCAGACAGTAAGTTGGTTATCACATATCCATATGTGCATGAATTGTCTTTTTTTTTTTATTTTTTATTTTTAAAAAAAAAAGAAAAAAAAGAAGAAGAAGATAAATAATGGTATTCTAAAAAATGTCATGAACAAGTTGTATTCAAATTGTTTATGTAGCTTTGCCATCCTTTCGAATCAGTGTTTTTTTATTTATTATTATTTTTTTCTTTTTTGGGTTAGAAAACTGAGAATATTGAGAATGCCTACTGAACAAATATATATATATATATATATATATGTGTGTGTGTGTGTGTGTGTGTGTGTGTGTGTGTGTGTGCACCATATCCTTCATAGTCTACTTGTAATTTATAATTAATAGCATATATGTTTTGTTCTAATTTTCAATCTTTTTATGAGCAGTTCTAATTGCATGTATTTTCTTATGACAGGTAGGACCAATCACATTTCAAACAAAGTTTCAGCCACATCTTGTCTGGACACTTGAGCAGGTTGGTTGCTCTTTTTCAGCTGCTACTGTTCTAATGACAAAATTATGAAGATATAATTTTGTTTTTAATCTCTCATTTGCAGCCTTATAAGTAGTGGGTGCCGATTATATTTGAATAGTTGGATATAATCATGTAGCTTTGGCATTGATTATTTGATATAACAACTACCCTTGATCAATGACCCAAAGTCTCAGGAGTGGTTAATATTCATTTTACTTTTGTAGGCACATATGAGAATGCCTTGGATAAAATTTGTTTCATGCATGTATTACTTGTGGACTAAATTGATCAGTGAATAGTTTTGGCATTAATCTTCTAATGTAAATTGGCAGTCATCTCTCTGCCTTTGATGATGATGAAATTGATGGTATCACTTTGGTACTATGTTCGTTCTGTTAGTTAGCAGTGAATCAACATGAATTTTCTAGTTCACTTAAAGTTTGCTGACAGCTTTAAAAACTCACTTATCAAACTGTTTTGAGATCTATGTTAAAAGTTCTTAAATTTGGGTTTTGAAATCAAATGGTATATAATAACTAAATTCTCTTTGAAGAATAGAGTGAGCATGAATTTGATGATGATGTACTATGAATCATTCTGATGAATACTGGTAACATGACATCCTATGACATTACTTGTGAATATGTTGTGGCTTGAATAAGGTTTGTGTGATTCTGGAATCGAACATTGAGTTATTTGTGAAATTAAATTAACACTTTTTTGTGGTATAAACAAATATCATCTTGACATCAGGACAACACTGAAATAAATAAGAAATTATGATGGAATTCTCCTTGATAAGTTTTGCATACATTCTGTCCTTTTATGTAAAAGGTTGACAAATTCATGCATATTTGAGCTGATGTCTTGTTTGGTGTGACTATACTTTTAGTTTCAATACTATCTAACATTGAGTTATTTGTGAAATTAAATTAACTTTTTTTTTTTTTTTGTGGCGATATAAACATGTATCATCTTAGCATCAGGACAACACTGAAATAAATAAGAAATTATGATGGAATTCTCCTTGATAAGTTTAACACATTCTGTCCTTTTATGTAAAAGGTTGACAAATCCATGCATACTTGAGCTGATGTCTTGTTTGGTGTGACTGGATATGCTTTTAGTTTCAATACCATCTAACATTGAGTTATTTTTGAAATTAAATTAACATTTTTTTGTGGCGATATAAACATGTATCATCTTAACATCAGGACAACACTGAAATAAATAAGAAATTATGATGGAGTCCTTGATAAGTTTTGCTTCATTCTGTCCTTTTATGTAAAAGGTTGATAAATCCATGCATATTTGAGCTGATGTCTTGTTTGGTGTGACTGGATATGCTTTTAGTTTCAATACTATCTAACATGTCAGCGATAAGCAAAATGAGTTATCTGCTTGACTTACATAGTATTCAAAACATGATTCAATCCACAATATATGTTTTCTCTTGGCCAATTTTTTCAGGTTAAAAGAAATATTGAAGACAAGACTCATCAACACATAGATGCACGTTCAAAGGGCAGGTATGTTTAGTGATGTGCTTTAATTTTATTGATAATTTATGTTTATTTCTTAATACTAAATGGCTTTCCCTCCTGTGCTATTGAGTGATGTATTTGCGTTTATCTATTTTCTTAGTTTGGAGATCAGTGACAAAAGTATTGATATCAAAAAACCATCACTATTTTTAATTGATTATGTACGATAAACATTCAAGCAGGGTTTTAAATATCATTTTGTTAGTTAACATGCTTTCAACTTCCCTACACGTTAAACTCTGTTTGATAATTGGATCTGTTTAGACACCCCCTTCCATTAAATCTGTGAACTTAAATGGAATCATTTAAATAAATCTTAGCAACTTTGAACTGCAAATCTGTACCTTTATTTCAGACATCAATAGTCAACACTTCCTATTAATGTGATCCAGGAGTGTTTGTTGAAGATATGAATTTAATGGAGGACATATGATCTTCTTGCAGGTTTGATGGTTCTGCACCAGAACCTCGAAAGGGAATAAAAAGTGGCCATGTGCCTGGCAGCAATTGCATTCCATTTGTGCAGGTAATAGATGGACTTTTTGGGGCATATAAACTAATGATTATTTTTTAAGCAATTGCATTCCGTATGCTCTTCTTGCAGGTTTGATGGTGCTACACAAGAACCTCTCTATTTTCCCTTTTCTTCATTAATGTGTTTGTTTTCTTGCAGATGTTAGATGCTTCACAGACACTCTTACCAGCAGACGAGCTGAAAAAACGATTTGATGAAGAAGGTAATAAAGAACCTCTATCTGTTCCAGTTTTATGTTTCTGGACGCCTGCCTAAAAAAGATTAGTTCCACAGATTGTAACTATAAATGTCCACATTGCTTTGCGTGGCATTTAGATGGAAACTGTATATCATAATGTGAAATGGGACATAGATTTTTTTTTTCCCTTTCTTTTTCCTTCCTTTTCGAGTGGATCAAATGGAGGTTTGTTAGGTTTCTAAGAAAAATGTGATGAAACAAAAGAACACACAATTGTTATGTCACATAGAGTTATATGATTTCTTCTCATATAATAATCTGACGCAAAATTGAGCTGTAGTTTTCAGGATTCTAGCTTTTGCTGTCGTCATTATCTTTCATTATTTGCTCCTAGAGTATATTCCTAAATGCTAATCTTGGTTTTTTTGGCATCTGCTCAAGGTTTAGTGCATCTGACAAGTATAGTTTTATACAGGCATCTCTTTGGAACGCCCTGTTGTTACTTCATGCGGGACTGGTGTAACTGCTTGTGTTCTTGCTCTGGTATTTATCCTTCTTTCCTAAGTATTACAATCATAGATTTAAATAACGGCCGTCATATAACGTTTTTGGGACTCTTCGTTACTGTTATTTGGCATTATATATCAGCCGTAATCTGTGATTGCAACTGCAACTGTTCTTTCATCTGTGTATGTGATTTAAAAGTATGATTGCTATCCATCTTGGCAAACTTCATGAAGCTTTTAACACTATATTATATCATGAAAAAAAATAGCAAATAAGATGCTTGGTTCTTGTTTTGTATTTTAGAGGAAAATGCTTGTATAGAAATAGTCCAATCTTTTTTAAAGTTCAAATGACCCAGGCTCATTTTGTCAGGGTCTCCATCGACTTGGAAAGCGAGATGTTACAGTCTATGATGGATCTTGGACAGAATGGGGAGCTAATCCTGAAATGCCTGTTGACACTTCTTCATAAATCTTACTCATGTGACACAATCAGGATGCTTGGCATGAGGTTTGCCTGGTTTAGTACACAGATTGGGATGCAAGAGGGTGTACCTAAAACAATTGGCTATAAGAGTTACATGTTTTGTTTTTTTGGATATTTTTAAAGTTTTAATTAACATTTTCGTGCTCCAAAAACATTGGCAAAAATAAAAAATTAAAAAAAAAGGTTTCTGAAGGAACAGAAATGAGAAAAGAAACGTTGGTCGCTTGGTCTTAAGAATGTTAAATCATCGAATCTATTACTCTTTTAAAGTGCCTTGGATTTGAGGATTTCTTCAAAAAACTAATCCTTTCAATTTTAGTTATATATTTTTTTAATAAAATATATTTTTATTGATTTTTTTATTTTTTATTTTTGTTAATTTCAATTAGATGTATTTTTATTATTATTTTTTTTATTCTTGTTAATTTCAATTACTTATTTTTTTCTGTACTTTAAGACGATATTGAGATGATTTCAAGGGTAAAATTGGAACAAAATTGGTTGTTTGACTATTAATTTCTTCGAAAACTCAGTTGTTCAGATCAGTATTAATATCTATAGTCAATCATTAGCCAATCAATTTAGATGGGAAACAGTAAAATCAACTATGTTGAAAATCTTTTAGTGCTGGCCATTTTATTAAAATATTTTTGAATTTTTTTTTGTTAGACCTTTTTTTTCTTTTTCTTTTTAATCTAAAAAGCACATTAATTAAGGGATTGACATGAATGTCACGTGATGCTCTTTTCACCTGAAAAATAGATGCCACGTGACCAATCAAAATACGTTCAATTCATATGTGATTTTATTTATTTATTTATTTATTTTAAAGAATTCTTATTGAAGATTTTAATAAAAAAAAATTAGATAATAAGTGCAGATATGAATGTTAATGAGAAAGTGTATAAGAGGCAACAAGAGTGGTTGTTGATTTTTTTTGTAAAGAAGTAGATGGAAAAAAAAAGACTTCTTTTTATCATATTTGTTTTATTGAAAAATGGCTTTCTCTAATGGTTTTTTCAATTTTAATTTTATTCCTACTTTTTAAAATATATTGCGATATTCCATAACATTGAAGAAATTTGGAGAAAGAAATAAAATTTTTACCGAATGGAACCAAATTAACAAAGTTTAATTGGTATAAATAAAAAATTTTAAAGCGAAATAAAAAAAAAATAAAAAAAAATACATATATAAAACTCACGGGATGAATGGAATTTACTCGAAGAATAAAGTCTCGCCCAAATAATTTAAGCGAGAGATTGCATAGCCATCCGCTATCCGGATTTCTTGCACCAAATTTAAACACTTAGCGGCCTGACTAAGACTAGAAAAGCCCTTTGCAAGGTTCTTGCTTGTAATAATGGGGTTGTTTATTTTTAATTTTATTAATGAATTTCAAAAGAAAAAAAAACTATATGCGGCTAAATTATAAATTAGTTTTTCTCTTTTAGAAAAATTAATTAATTAATTTCTTTTTCTTTTAAAAACTAGTTATTTAGTTTCTCATATTTTAATTCTATATATAACTCGGTCCCTTCATGAGCTTTTTGTTACATCAATAATTTTTGCTTTTAAATTGTGCATATTTTGATTTTTGGTTAAGGAGAGAGAGAGACCGAGTGATCAAGAGAAATAAGGTATCAAGAGAGGAATAATTTTTTTAAAAAAATTACTTATCTAATAGAACACTAATAAAAAGAATAAGTTATCGACATAATTAAAACCCAAGAGATCGAATGATTACTCTTTAAAATGAAGAAGATTAATTGATGGCTAAAAATGTTTAATCATCTTTGAATTTTAAGTCATTTAAAGTTGTGTTTCTAATTTTTTTTTTTTTATTGATTCGGAAGATCCTTGAACTTTAGATTTTTTAAAATTAAGTTCACCAATTATTTTTCAATAACAAATAACAAAGGATGTGTGTGTAAAATTCACGTGAATAACTTTTCCACACTTTTACACCCAACAACCAAACGTACTACCATAACCTATTTTTTGATTTCTTTTTTTCCTTCCAACCTCTTTTACCCTTTTCCCCTCCTAAAGCAATCGTTCATTAGCGTCAAAATAGAAGGATATAAAACAACAAATAGCACACAACATGTTTGATGAAATGCCAATGTAAAGAAAGAAAGAAAGATATTAAACGACATACAAAATTATATTACACTCAACTTGTTTGATGACATGTCATCTTGCTCAATTCAATCTTCTAGAAGCTAATTTCAACAACAAGATGATCATGAAGACTACCCAAGATATATGAACAAGACATCCAATGAAAGAAGAACAATTATAAAGATATCCGAGTAAAAATCCAATCCGAGTAGGTTGTACTACTTTTGTCACAATTGTGAGTTCATTGGTTGGTGACTCATTTTAATGTAGGTTTTGAGAGAAATGATGGTTTGAAGGAAGAAATAAAGAAGCTAAGGGAGGATGTGAGTGGGTCAAGTTCTGCTATTTTGAGTCTAAAAGACATTTTAGAGGCTAAAATGGGATTTGTTAAGGCTATGTCGTTAGCCTTGCTATTTTCCTAGTTTATATATATCTCTCTCTCTCTCTATATATATATATTAAGTGAGAAATGGTTTCGAGATAAAAGTGAGAAGGTTTTATGTTATGCATGCAACAAGTGATCAAGAAATGTACATAACATTATATAATGAAATGTTTATTGAGCAAAACAAAGCTCGTCTAAAATATAAATGAGCATAAGTGAAACATCTAAAATAGATAGCTTGAATCTTCATTCATTACAAGCATATTAAGGTTAGACAATCAAAATATAATCAAAAGACTAGCTTAATCAAAATATACAAACTTGATTCATGTATCCATCGGTAGTTGGATAAATACAAAAAACTACCATCATCAAGTTAGAATGTTGTGACTCAATATATATCCGAGTATTTGGATAAACAAAAAACTACCATCAATAAAAAACTAGACATCATTATCAAATGTATATCAAGGCTTTCAAACCTAATTTGACTTTATTATTGTGGTATTTATGGTGGTCCCTCAACCATAACTTGCTCTTGTAGATGACATGAAGCCTTGAGATGGTCTAGTAACTTATAAAAAATGTAATGAATAAATTCAATAAACTCAACAATAATTAAACCATATTGAAATTATAGTAGGTCATTGTATGTAGCAACTTAATTTCTTATTTCTTGAAGCTTTGTTAGTTTCGGGTTCTTTTTCTTTTTTCTTTCTTTGCTCAGCTTCTTGAAAGGGAGGCATGTATGTGATCGTATTGCATTGAGATTGATTAAATATTGATGATTGTAGTGGTGGTTGTGATGTATCTCTAGTTGAAGCTTTAATAGTCCTTTTCCCATGATGTTTCTTTATTTGAAGCTTCAACGAGTCTTTGTAACTAAATATCATCATCAAACACAAATCAAAGCTTTAAAACTTAATTTGACTTAATTGTTATGGTCTTTATGATGGTCCCTCAACCATAACTTGTCCAGATGCAATAAAGCCTTAAGGTGGTCTAGTAACCTATTAGAAATATAAGGAATAAATTAACTAACTCAACAATAATTAAAATACATTGAAATTATAATTGTTTATTGTATGTGGCAACTTGCTTTCTTTTTGGTTGAAGCTTGGTTAGTTTCAATTTTTTTCCCTTTCTCTTTCTCTACTCGGTTTCTTGAAGGAGAGGTATATATGTGACTATGCTAAATCAAGGTTGATTAAATATTGATGACTTGTATTGGTGGTTGTTGTTATCACCTAATTTTAGATCCTTTTTGTTTTCACATAAAATGTCTAAAAATGGTAAAATGTTTTTTTTTATTAATTCGATTGATTTTACAAATTTTTACTTTTTTGTTGTTGGGATTTTAGGAAGCCCATAATTTTTGTTTTAGGAGAAAATAAACAAAAAGAGGAAAAAAAAGAAATAAATGAAGAGAAGAAAAAGAAAAGAAGAGAAGCAAAGAGAAGAAAAAGAGAGAAAATAAACAAAATAAGAAAAAAAGAGAGAAGAAAATAAGTTGGAAATTGAAAATTTTGGACCTAGTTGATTAAATATAAGAATTGGATTAAAAAAATAATTAAATTAGGGATTCAAATAAAAAACTTACCAATTGAAAATATAAAGAAAGAAAGATGGAAGAGGTAAGGTGTAAAATGTGAGGAGAAAAGAAGAAAAAGATAGGGCCAATGTAGAAATTTAAAAAACCCTAACTAACTCTCACTATAAAAACATCTCTTCATCTCTTAAGAGAGGGGTATGAGCCATTCATCTTTCCGTAAGGAGAAACAAACTAGAGAGAAGGAAAAACTCTCTCCCACAACCTACCGTTTTCAACTATCAAAAGAACCTCTCTTTTATCATCCATGACAACTACCATCTAAGCAACATAAACCCCCTCCTAAACCCCCCCCCACACACAATCCGACCAAAAATTAATAAAAAAAGACCCAAAACCATCAAATTTCTTTCTCTTGCAGCCATTGCTACCATTATCAAGCAATATCAATGATAAACTCCTCCATCCATAATCTAATCATTTTCCTACCTAAAACCATCAGCCACATTCCTCCCTTCTATAAGAGTGTTTTGACGAGTATCCCTTCCTCTTTAATAGCTATTTTCATAGTAAAATCGGTAGCGTTCCAATGGCATTTTGGCAACAATCCTCCTCTATCCAATAATCACTTTCATAGTAGAACCAATGGTGTTCCAGCGGGGTTCGAGTGGTGATTTCTTCCTCTTTCAAAAATTAATACATGGCGACGAGTGAAGGAGATAAATGGTAGTAGAAGCGAGTGTTGAATAGATACTATAAAGATAATGATTCTTGGCTGAAATAGCCACCACACATAATGACACTAATTGAGGATGGTAATTTCTTGAGTGGTTGTCATTTTCCAACGAGTGGTGGACAACTTCTCCTCACCTATTCTAGGTTCGAAAGATAGCCCCATTGCATCCCTCTTCGACTAACTTTCCCTTT